CCTTAACTGGTCTGGTGCTGTTTCCAGTATGAGGTAAATTGGAAGCAGTAAAACTTAATAGGCAAATAACAATTTCATAAAATAATTACCTAAGAAATTATTTGGTTTTGTTAAAACAAATTAGCTATGGGCCAGCCTTTTCAAAGTACGTTAAATACCAAATTAAGTGGTCAGGGAATGGGAGTGTGGCGACGCAGTGGGGTACTATTCTTTTTCCATGGACACAAGTCTGGCACAAATTAGTACTTCAAAAGAACAGGCCTACTGCCCATGGTTCCACAAATGCTTACTTGACAGACAGTATTTTGAGTTTTCTTTTTTAAGATTAAATGCACAAGCGAAGCTAGTGAGAAAGAAGGCCCTGGTGGAGAGAATGAAAAGCAGATTATCAGTAAACACAGACGCACTGTCTTTGCCTCTGAAGAATAGGCTTATGATATCTGGATTTACTTTACCTGATTGAATTTACCTGTTAGATGCTAACCTGCTCTCCATGGCAACTATCAGCCTGCCCTAATATAGCAAGGTACGGCCTGAGGTCAGGTCAGAAGGAAAAGTTCTCTGAATGACTGGCCATCTTTATGAAGGTCTATAAATATGCATTGGTGGTTACGAGAAGACCAACCAGAGCAAATAGGTGGTGGCACAGCACTGGGAGTTGCTCGATCCTGTTCTTGCAAGTTCTGGCTCACATTAAGCTTTGGGCTTTTACTTGCAGTAATTACATTTCAGAGCACCTTGATTGTCTATTTCATTCCATTCACTTTGAGATGAAGGCTTTAAGTCTCCTCTTTTTTCTTCTCATATTGTACAAAAAGAGGACTTTTAAAGGTGCCCTTCCCTGTTGCCCTTGAGAAATCTCAAGTGCTTCAAACATTTAAAGCTTTGAGCAGAAACAATAGTGTGGTTTCAGGGTGTACGAAGAGAACAGGAGTTCTCTGTGTCAGGCTTGTTCACACAAGTTCTGCCACTGAAACACAGCTTTCATATCATGGCAAACTCTTTATATACCCTTCACCTTGCAGAACTAACCAGCACGGGCCCCAGTGTTCAGTAATGAAATAACATCATGCAATCTGGAGAGAACAACTGTGGTTGAATCATTGTTACATAAAATCACCTTGACCTATTTCACACTGCTTTGCTTTTAATACATTTTTATAGACTGGTCATCTAAGTACTGTAAAACCACCAATACCACATGATTAAGAGGAAAACAAATAGTTCCTTAAAAAGAAAAAAGCCTCCACTAAATAAATACAGGGATTTCCCTTGTCAGCTGGTCATATTTCTTTTGATCATTGATTTAAAAACAGTTAAGTTGATTAAAATAAGGCCAGATGCATCAACATCTGATAAACACCCGAGAAATGTAACACAGACATGTTCTCCTGGTGTATGCTTTGTGCCTTGCCAACCTCTTGATACAGAATCCTTACTCGGCTCCCTAATTCTGCCTCGCCATAATTCTAACAATCTTCGGGAAAGCCTTTGAAGAGCGCGCGTAGCTGAGCTAGGTGTGAATTGTTATTCTGTCGCTGATACAGACAAATCCTTTCAACCCCACCAGACTTGACTAAATTATTTTGGAAGACATGTGAGCCAATTTAATCATGTGTTGCAAGGGAAAATCATCACTGTTTTTACATTTTGCAAAAAAAAAAAAAAAAGAAACTTATTACTTTATAAATTAAACCTTCACCTCATTCCTGCTGGGTTGCTATGGTGACATCCACAGAGGACACCAGTATGACAAAAGGAAATAAACCTGCTGCTTCAAAGAAGATCACTCCAAATGCCAGAGGGCACCTTGCGTCGATGTAAAACAATATCAAAGCAGATCAAAGTAAAGGATACTGATTAAAATGATAGGCAGAGATGTCTGCTACTTCATGAACTACCTTAGCAACTATTACTGTCTACATTAAAATGGTCATCTGAATTAAAAATGACTCAATAAATAAATGTTGAATTTGGAGTATTGATCACAACCCAGCTCATTACACTGACATACAATGAACCACTTACAAAGCTGGTTTACTGAATGAAAACATTTGACTTTTATTTCTGATTGACATCACTAATCGCAACACTGTGGCAAGGGTTTGAAATTAACAAAATAAGTAACTTTTGGTGCTTTAATTTAATATGTAATCAGAAATTATACAATGCATAAAGAGGTACTCCAGCAATCCATAAATTTGGGGTACTTATGAGAGTGATTGAAATCAAAGCAGCAGAGACTGAGATATGATGACTTTTATCCCCTGGTATGGATCAAGCTCCAAAAGCACTGAATTCTACCCTTTCCAAACTGCAACTCAATAAAGTCTTTCATTAGACCCTGCTTTCACATCCACTCTACACCCTTCAGTTTGTAATCCAGGCTTTCCATTAAATAAAAGTAGTCTCTATCCCAAGCCCAGATAACCCCTGATGACATCATCAGGGTTATTTTTCCAGACTTTGTAAACCAGAGTAGTATTTCTCGTAACAAGTAATATAAATTTGATGTGTAAAATTCATGGAGTGGCCAAAATAAAGTAAATTTTACATGTGATGGCCCTTTATGTCCATCTTAATATTGATATTTATTAAATGTAATTATAAGGCCCTCCTGGGCTTTTATAGGATTACAGACATACTGTATGAGCACTGACTTAAATGATCCAACATATTCAGACAATCACAGTGTATAATTATAACAAAATAATAATTATAGCTGGAAGTTGTTCCATGACTTTGAACAATACTCAACTAAAAGGCTGTTCAAAAGTAGAACAGAAAAAAAAGATTTCTCTATAGTACTAGATTCTCATTTTATTTTCTGTACTGAGCGTAATAAAACACAGCAGAGGTTAATTCCATATCATTAGGTTGAAAAGCTCTAGCCCTCAGGGCTCCTTTGATATATGTATATATAAAATTATTATGCCATATATATACAGCATAATTAGAATAATAAGGCAAATCAGTTTCAGAAACTAATGTCAATGACTGGGCTGTTGGGGTTGTGGATGCATACAAGCAATTTCTTAAGGTTAAGATGTGGAGAAAATAAGAAAAATGGGAGATGAAAGGCTCGGTCTGGCAGCGAGTCAGCTGAGCAAATGCAGATCACAGAAATGTGCAGTTGTGGACATGAGTCATACCAATGCAGTCAAATGTGTAGGATGAGTCTTATTGTATAGATGGAGGTCAGAGAGGAACACAATCCCCCAGAGCTACAGTATCAATCTTAGCTGTGTGTATATCTCTTCCTTCAACCACAAAAAACGAGGGAAAAAAACAAACTTTAAACTATTTACAGCATTCCACTAACCCATTTAATTCAATTATAAAAATGCATTAAAAAGATATTAGGGGTAGACGCAGTTTAATGAAGCATGTTTACTTGGGGATATTGTTTGTAATGAACTGTTTCTGGGCTGATCTCTGCAGCTGAGATGGGAAATGTGTGGTGGTGGTGGAGGGGGTGGAGTGGGTGGGGTGGGGTGGGGGGTACAACAAGAAGAAAAGGTGAATGACAAATGTGATCAATAAATGTGCTTACTCCTTTGTTGTGTTGACTCATTAGGAGCAGGCATGTCTGCAGTTTCTACCGTACTACAGTCACCGCTCACTCTCTGTTTGCCTGGGGAGGGTTTAGACTGCCGTTTGTCACTTCATGTCAGCAATGACTCTGATACCACGTACCAAAGTCCAGCCTATCCTATCACATCCCCTTTGGTAGATGCACCTTCACCGACCGTTTGGAGTTAGTAGTGTAGTGTCAAGATCCCTCACTGGCTTCCCACCTCACAAACACAACTGAGTTCTATGGAGCGGCTGGTGAAATCAGAGGCAAAACAACATGGGACAGAAACTCACTGAGCTGGCAACTATCTTTCCTGCCCCCTCACTAGGTTTACTCATATATACTCTGATCTCAAAACTGGAAACTCTTTGCATGTGGTTTCTACAACAATGTGTCAGAGTGCTGACATAGAGTAGAAGGAATGAGTATAGCCAGCCACTTTTAACTGATTTCTGCGACTTTGTTTCCGAAATCCACTGAAGCCTATAGAGAACACACACTGCTCAAATTTCACACTTCTTACATGAAGGATCAAATCCAAGCCAGATGACACATGAGAGACAGATATATCATATATCGTGCCAGTACGGCTTGCTACAGCGTAAATTAAGCATCTCGAGAAATCATTACCTTCCAAACTTGAATCAATAATCCTACATTATTGAGTTTTTACAGAATCAATAAAGCAGGTATAGTGAACAGTTGGCCAAAGCTTCAACAGTTGGCAGCAGCGAACCAAATCTGTAATGGCTCTTTCTCTGATATATTGCACTGAGAAGACGCCAACTTTGGGTTATTCTAAATCCAATCATCAAACAACCAAGTAATGTACCACTATTCTTTTGATTAAACACTAATGTGTACAGGATACAGTTTATGAGATATGGTTTGGATGCATAAATCTTGCAATTACGATACAGCTGAGACTGATTTAATGAAAGCTAAATACACTATGATTAAAACACATTCAAGCTTTATACTTTTCGAGGTGTGAAATCTGTGTGTGCCTGCCATGAGACAGAACATTTTAGCGGGGAATTTACAAATGGATCCAGCTCTGATGCCACTGGGAACAACTGACGCTTTCAAGCAGAAAATCTCAGACAAATCACAATTTACCAACTAATGAAACCACTCAAGATTATCCCCCATCCGCCTGTGCCCACTGTCCTCAGAGCTGCATTACTTACACAAGCATTGCCTGCACTCAGAGGAGCAGCTCTGGCTTGAGTCACAATTTCACTGCTCATGCTATATTCCTAAGTAAGACAACAGCAAAAAAAAAAAAAAATACAATTCCTGGCAGTGGCTGCCATTGAACCAGAAACAATACTCATTCAAAAGATGCCATAAAAATACTGGAAAGAGAACAAAACATTATGTTTTGATATAAAACAAAGATGACTGTTTCATATGTACTTACCCTCTGTGGAGTGCACTTGGGCTAGTGTGATGAGAAACCAGCAGAAGGTGTGTAGTTTCCGCAGGGAGCATGCCATGGCACCTGGTGTTGATGGTTGGTGGCGGGTTTGTGTTGTGACTAAAAGGCTCTGATTAAAGAAGTCCAAGCCAACTGGTCTCAGAGATGCTCATCATTGATCCTCTCACCTGTGGAGCAGACCAAGAGAGATGTTCAGTTCAGGGGTGAAATTTTTTCCTCGTGTGAGCTCTGTCCCTGTGTGATTTCACAGAGGAATTCACCCTGTCACACTTTCTATTTTTTTTTTTTTTTTTTTTTATCACAAGGCACTTGATGCTGCACATACATTCCACTGTGGAAATGTGACAAACCTTAAGCTGTGAAATGCTGCAAACCCACGCAAGCCACTAAAATAAGCCCAGAAGGTCAATAATCCTGAGAAGGGAAATCCCTTAATGGCAGCTGAATGCTAACCATTTCACTGGACGGGAGGGGGTGAGGGAGGGACCAGCGCTGTCATGAAACAGATAAGGCCTGCCCTATCCAACTCCTCGTGACCCATAACAAGTGATGCTAACCTTATCAGTGCGTATCAAATGATATTTTCAGCACCGATTGCAAAGAATATATTTATACCTTTCTGTGCATTTTCATATCTTTACTTTTCCATAAGATTTATATTGTATTTGTATTTACATAGTATTTCAAAGGGATGTTGATTGAAAGCAGTAACATCACCATGTGTTAAGACTTCTCATTTCCAAAAATCTCTCTCTATTGTAAAAAGAGAAATTCCAGCAGAGTAAAATTTCAAATGCAGATGTGATTTTCAAAATCACAAAAATTCTGCAGATTATCCAGGTGAGTTGTGACATCAGGAACAGACCAATTGTAAACCCTCACAGCAACAAAACTCTACAAACACATGCAGAAGTGTTAAATTACTTGACAATAACATTAAATGCTAAAATTATCCGTGGTAGCGTGGCAAACATTAGCCAAAAAGCTTTCCATCCTGCTGTCATATTGGTTTGCATTAGCTTGGTTGTTGTCTGACTAATCAGTGGAGAAACTCTATTTCATAATAGGGGTGGATATATTCTTTTTCTTGTTTGGTCAAACATTCATGTAATTTTTAGAAAGTCTACATGGCCAGTTAAACACAAAGTATATCATATGTAACTATGTCAGTGGCTGAGTCACATTTACTTGAACACATTTTAAAGTAGCTTCATTATGTTATTTAAGTAGCATTTCCTACTACTGGCATTTCACTTGTACAGAAGTTCAAAAGTAATAGTGCTTCTGTCTGACTCATATTATGTGACTCTTTCCACCCCTGGCCACACAAACAAACAAACAAACAAATAAACAAACATTACTAAGCAAATGGTCACTTCTCTGTTGTGACTGACCAAAAACCACCTTATCTCTCCATCCCAACTCCACCCCCACCTCATCTATACCTGTCCCTCTAGTATTAGTCTGTTTGCATGTTTGTTTTTACTCTCTTTCGCTACAAAAGCAAATGGCCTCCTCCCTGTCATGGATACAGTGCTGGAGCTGTGTAGGGTGAAACCTAATGCCTACCTGCGCGCCCAGGCATGCGTTTCACACTACTCACGGCTCCCTTTTGTCTGTGTGTTTACACTGCTGGGCTAAGCTCAGTCCTCTCACTCCCATGAACCATTAGCACATTCACCATGGGATAAGGCATCACTCCGGCAACAAGGCACATAGGACCCCATTAGAAACTGTTTTTTTTTCTTTTCTTATATGGCACATTCAAAAACAACATTCCTTTTTTTTTTTCTGTGCCTGCCACCTGCGATTGTTCGTCAAGATTCAAGGGACTGAAGATTATCCATCATACTAGCAGCTAACAAGAGAACTCAACTGAAAAGACAGTGAGGAATTCTGTTTGTCATGTACAGAGCTGCAAGAGTCAGCTTTGGCTGGCTCCTCCACTGGAGAATATACACAGGCTGAGGAGTCTTTGATCTGTTTTGTCTGAGTTCTCAGACAGTGTAATAATTCATCACCGAGAAAACATGCGGAGCGCACACATTAGCCAACAAAGTTATAATTAAGCCTGCCATAATCAGCTCATCTAGTATGACATTACACCTCACCTGAGACCTCTAATTTTAGAGCCATTTAAAAGAGGTTAACGGGAGCAGAGTACTGCAGCCACAGTGTATTTAGTTTCAATGGAATAATATGCAGTCATGAGACTTGACAAATGGAAGTTGATCATGGAGACCAAACATTGAATTCAAACAAAACCCTAACCTTGTTTCTTAGCTGATCGGTGCATGTGGCACCAATTAAATTTATCAGGCAAGTGGCTACGTATTATCAGCCTACACTCAAGGTCTATACAGTATAATGAGGCCTTAAGCCGATTGTCTCCACAATAAAGCTGTACAGCAAGCATATAGGCTTAAGGATCCTCATCCATACACAAAGTCTTAGCTCTGTTACTGTGTCCACTTAGTGAGACAGACAATACTTAGATCACACACACACACATTTGCATGTGTTGAGATCTGAGTGATGATAATCCCATTCAGTCATTATATTGTCCTGCACAAAGTAATTTACTGTGAAAACTCAGATTAAAGTAACAGTTTGACTATAGTGTTTGCACGGTTCAGAGGGACCAAAGTTCCCTAATAACAAATCGTTAAGTTTACTTGGGTGTTTGATAGCTAAATTAATGTCAAGAAGGATGTGTGACAGTCCAAAAGAGAAATGAGAAATACATTGTGAATAATAAAGTGATTTCCTTAGTGTTAATTGTTTTTAAACATCAAATTTTGCATAGCAGATCCACACAGGGTCGAGGTGTTAGTCGTAGCATTAAATTCGTTTCACTGTCACTCAAGAAAATGAGTTTTATTTTCCCACCATCCCCAGCCTTGTCACTCTTTTATCAAATATAGTCCCACTTTCCATCTGGTTCCCTCCGTGACCTCTGCGGCGCATGCACAGAATCAAAACACAGACACTGTGGGATGTACGTGCCAAGTGCAATTTCAAAGACTGATGCTATGCGTACTCCGCTTACGACATTGACGCGAGTGAGACAGCCTGGTTAAGGTCTTCACATAATAGTTGAAATAACTGGTGTGCTGCCTTACACTGGTTATAAGTGCAGAGCATTATACTAATCCAAAACTATTATAATTCTCAGCCTGAGATGACTGTGTTGAATCCATATGATTATTCTTGCTTCCCTGTCATCATTGCTTAGTGTTGAAAAAAAAAAAAAAAAAAGAGGCAGCATGCTCACAAGACTTCCTGTGTCAGAATGTGAAGACAAAGACGAGATGCCTTTAAACAGTTTTTCCTCCGAGGCAGTTAAGACCCCCCGCCATGAGAAAAATGCAGAATGCTGATCCCTGGTACATGGGTATGGGTGTTCTGTAAATCGATGATAACAGTCCTATACTTTAATATATTTTGTATCATGCTGTGAGTGTTTAACATGCTGAGACACCAAAGGCGCAGACTGGAGGGAGACTGCCTGAATACCATTCCTCTCATTAAACGTGCTGAGGTCTCCCCTCTCAGCTGGGGGTTTCTTTTCTCTCTCCCCCTTGCAACGGAAACCGCCGGTGATCATACTTCGACTGTTTTCTTAAATAGCCCTCGACTTGGGTGTGCTCTCAGGACAGGCTTCAGCATCTGCAACAATATTTTGTTGTGCTGTGGGTTTGGGGGGGGGGGGGGGGGGGGGGGGGGCGACGACGACACAAGATGATGAAAACCATCATCATAAACATGGCTGCTTCTAATGCATGAGACACCACAATCAGGAGGATGTTCTGTGATTGTTAAGCACAGATTGCTAAAGTGTCAACAGGCATCACACTGTTTTGGCTAAATATGAAGTCATTGCAGGCAGATGTTTAAGTACTCTGAGAAATGGAGAAGCCACAGGGGCACGGGCCCAGAGGCTTTAGACATATGTGTGCTTGATATATTCGCAATACAACAGAATGCTTTATAATTGACAACCCAGTGACAAAATTGTGAAACGCAGGAACTCAGTTGGCCTTTTCAGGAGACAAAATAAAAGGCTTAGTAACTGGGAGGAAAGGGGTTATTAAAAGGGAGGAGAGGAGGGTTGATTGAAAAGGACAGTTTGAAATTTGAATGCAGCGGGGGTCTGAAAACAAGAGGCAGATGTGAAAGAATGCCGGGATCCTCAGACAAAGCTCCTGGTTGTCCCTCTCTAGCTGTTAGAGGGCCACAGGAGAATAGAGGAAGAGTTGGGCCATTCTATTAAACGAGGTCTGGGAGAATGAGGGGTGGGAGGGGTGGACCCAGAATAAAGAACCTGAGTGGGGGAGGGGGACTCCAGTTACAATGAAAGACTGACAGCTTGCAAGTCTTGCTTGACCCTTGAATTAGCCCCTGAGCTTTCAACAAACCTCAAGAAAGAGTTGGGATGTTAATTGTCACAGAACATCACAGGGATGCAAAGGAAGGGAAATATGGGGCCGGAGATTCACTGAAATGTAAATCAGAACCAACAGACCACCACATGTTGAATAGGGGGAACACATTTGGTTTCTGTTGGGTTTTCCCAACAGCATCCTTCATACATGAATTCATACATACTATATGACTCCTCTTATCTCTGTTTCTTCTGCTCACTTTGAGGGGGAAAACTGAAATACCTGGGGACACAGAGCTCAGTTATAGAACACTCAGACTCAGCTGTGGAGGAAATATATTCCCAAAAGAGATAGTGTTCCGGCTTTGACACTGCTGAAGATGTACAATTTGCAAGCGTAAATCAGAAGATTCGCACTCCAGAGGGGAGAGATTGGGCCGGCGATCGGATGAGTCCGGAGCCCCACTGAGTCAGATATGGGGCAGGGGGGAATCAGAGGCTGACCCCTCTGCTGAGGGAATGATTGAGAGCAGCACCGGGCCAGAGAAGCTGAATGACACCCAACCAAACACTCTTTGACTGCTGGTGCCCCAAACACAGGCCCTGACCCTGACAGGAGCTCAGCCAGTGAAATACCAGGGCATGCTGCTCAACAGGACAGCACGGCATCTTTA